TATGAGGCGCAAGCTGGGTTTGATAAATTGGGGAGCATTGCTAAAAGGGACGATAGCAGATGGGCAATGGCAAACATTTAAAGAGTGTTTGAAGGAACTGCAACAATTATTCCTTCTGGCTTGGCACAAAAACAAACCAGGAAACATGGCCTGACCAAGGCTAATAAGGGAAATTAGCATTAGTATTGCATCCAAAGATGGTGAAAAAAAATTGGCGCCAAAAAAGCAATAGACCTGAAGATTGGGAACAGTTTAGATTTTCAACAAAGGAGGATAAAGGGATTGGTTGGGGGGGTGGTGGGGAGCGTATAAATAGAGTACACGAGTAAGCTCGTGGCAGACATACAAACTAATTGCAAAAGCTTGTACAATGTGAAGTGAAAAAGATTAGTGAAGACAAACATAGGTCCATTACAGTCAGAAATGGGCAGTTATAATGGAGAACAAAGAGATGGCAGACAATTTAAATGCATAATTTGCTTCTGTCTTGAGGAAAGAACACAAATAACATCAATAAAATGTTGGGGAGCACAGCATCTAAGTGAGAGGGAGGAACTGAACGAATTGCATAATAGTGGGTAAATGGTGTAGGGGAAATTGATGGATGAAGGCCAAAAAAAAAACAACCGGAGCCTGATGATCTATAATATGGAGTATTTAATGAAATGGCCCTGGAAATAGTGGATGCATTTGGTGATTATCTTTCAAATTTCTATAGGCTCTGGAACAGTTGCAATGGATTGGAAGTCTGATAAAGTAACTCCACTATTTAAGAAAGGGAAGTAGGGAGAGAACAGAATTATAGACCAGTTTGACGTCAATAATGGGGAAAATGCTAAAAATATTATATTTTAAAAAAAAGCATTCCCTCCACCACAAGATCAGAAGTAGGAATGTTGGCCAATGATTGCACAATGTCTCCACCATTCACAACTCCTCAGATGCTTAAGCTGTCCATGTTCAAATGAAACAAGACCTGAATAATATACATGCTTGGACTGAAAAATGGAAGTAACATTTGTGCCACACAAATGCCAGGCAATAACAATCTCCAATAAGAGATAATCTAACCACAGCCCAATGATATTAAATAGTGTTACCATCACTGAATCCTCCACTGACCAGAAACTCAACTGGACACGCCATATAAATAGAGTGGCTACAAAAGCAGGTCAGCGGTTAGGAGTAAAGCAGCAATTCCCCAAATCCTCTGCACCATCTATAATGCACAAGTCATGAGTGTGAAGGAAAAGTCTCCACTTGCCTAGATGAGTGCAGCTCAAACAATATTCAAGAAGCTTCACGTCATCCAGAACACAGCAGCTTGCTTGATTGGCACCACATCCATAAACATGCACTACCTGCACCACTGACGCTCAGTACAAGCAATCTGTACTACCTACAGGAAATTTGCTGAAGATCCTCGGACAGCACCTTCCAAACCCACAACTGCTTCCATCTCGAAGAACAAGGACGGCAGATACATGAGAACACCACCACCTGCATGTTACCCTCCAAACCACTCGCCGTCCTGACTTGTAAATATATTGCCATTCCTTCAGTGTGGAAATCTGGGAAATCCCTCCCTGACAGAGTTGTGGGTCTTCCTATAACACATGAACTGCAGCAGTCCAAGAAGGCAGCTCTCCACCACCTTCTCAAGGGCAACCAGGAATGGGCAATAATTGCTGGCTGAGCCAACGTTGCCCATATCCCATGAGTGAATTCAAAAAACAGACCATCTGTAAAACAGTGACAGGGTCAGATAGAGTCATCATGGATTTACAAAAGGACATGCTTGACAAACATCTTGGAATTTTGAGAGGATGTAATAGTAGAGTTGATAAGGGTGAGCCAGTGAATGTGATTTACTTGGGCTTACAGATGTGTTTCAATATGAAGATAGCCTCCATATTCCTGTATTTGCAACACAATAAAATGTGAACATTTAATGATCCTCAAAGTTGATCCCAATGGTTTCTAATCAGACTTTTTGAATAACCAGTATCAGAGTACCTGAGTAATCAATACCTCATAGCAGATACTAAGTTTATAGCTGATACAAAAGAATTAATAATTTAATAAATACAGCAGCTTTGTAGAGTTATAGAATCCCTACAGTGCAAAAAGGGGCCAAGAAGAAATGTAAGATTAATTAGATAGACTCCAGTGGTTAAGTAGTTACATAAAATATATTAAAATAGTAATACCATTAATAAATTTGGTTAGGCCTTACAGTACTTCTCTTTACCTCTTACTAAATAAAATATACCTGTCATTTAGTTGCCTGTATTAGAAAACAAACGCACTGCAAGCTGCTCATGATCATTGTGTCAAAAATGACTTTATCAAAACCAATTTAAGCAACAATGTGATCTAATTAATGTCTATGATTTACACCTAATCTTTGATTCTCGCTCTCACTGCCACAAAATAAACAGTCATAGCTAAGGGATAAATCAAAAGAAATATAAATGAGATGTAACTGGTCAGTTCACTTAAGCAGACTCCATGATCCAGAACACCACAGGCACATGAGATTGTATCTTGCTTGGTTTCAGAAAACACAGGTGCATGCAAATTACTTCCTGTCGGCTCCATAGATAGTTATAATCCTTATAACTGAGATTCTGTTCTCTGAGCTTTCAATAAGTTGATAATGAGAGGATAACTAGGGAGCAATCAAACCTCCATCAAAATTTGGTTTCTCTTTTTGGTAGACTGGTTGCCTCCTTTATAATGCCTCAGATAACATGCAATATCTTCCATTTGTTTGAGTATAATGCATGTCCTAAACCAAAATGTCTAGAGTGTTCTTTGTTCAAGAATCAACCTGCAATTAACTTCCAAGCCTGGCCCCAGAAGCAAATATCCATTTGTTTTAGTTTTAAACAAGGTGTTGTTCACAGTCCAAAGGTCACCCTCAGCTGTCAGCTGATGGTTTACAGTTCCAAACCAAAAATGATGTTTATAAAAAATTGAAAAATCAGAGGGTTCTAAGAGAAGGCTTTTGATTAAGGTCCACCTTAAGGAATTGAAGTGC